GCCTCTGTGCGCACCCGCCAACCCACTGCAAGAGCAGGTTCCATGGGCGGGCAAAAGATGTTTCGATGATCGAATTTCGTTCAAGCTTCATGATTAAGGTTGCGACGGGGCGCAATGATGCGACGGTTGCCCCGCTCTGGAAGGGGTGGAAACGCCCTACCGAGGCGGACGGGTCCACTGTCGACCCCCCAGCGACATTCTCCAGCGCCTTCGCCTCGTGGGCGAGACTCTTCAATTGAGCAAGCGCTGGCCCAGCTGGAACCTCCAACGCACCCCCAACGACGAATCAAAGACCCCTTGAAACTAGCCAGTACCTTGGTCTCTCCAACGTTCGTGGCCGCGGCTCGCTTGCCGATTTGATGTGGCCGCCTTTGCCTCGGCGCGTTTTTGTCGCCATGGTTTGGGCTTGACGCCGCGACACCATGTCGCCGCTCTGTTTTCTCTGCCTGCCAGCCCAAAGCCGATCTGGACAGCGATGACCAACGCCATAGACATGGCTCACAGCGCTGTCCCGGGTTTCTGGAGGCATTCTTTTTGCTCATTCAATGCGATGGTGAAAATCATTCTCCATTTTGACAAAGGGCTCATGGGGAAGCGGGATCTGCCAAGGCCTTGTGGTCCTGCCCTGGGACGTGCAGGCATTGTTGCCAAGGAGCCTCAAGGAGGCTCTTCGCTAGCCAGGGGTCGTCGCCTCGTCAAACGGCAGGCCCGTGACACAAGCGAAGGTACGCCATGCGGAGAATGGTGAGCACTCTCTTCATCACTTCCCCGTCTGAACGGCGGTGTTTCTTCATGCTATCCAAGCCAAGGCTGCCATGCGCCAGTGTGATCGGCATTAGGGGGTTTTCGGCTGGGGCTCCGTTCCCTGGCTCCTGTCATCCGTTGTTCTGTCCATCATGGCCCACATTCCCTTGCTGCCGCCCTTCTGTATATAACCTCAAGGGCTGGCCGTCTTGGGAACTCTTGCCTTTCTTTTCCCCATCATCCAGCAATCTTTCACTCTCTTTTTCTGTTGCTCCGGTTCTGTGAACCTGTTTCGGTTCTTCTCGCTCTTTTTAGCTTCTTACTATTTTCCAAACAACCGCTTGGCCGGTTTTCGCTTCTCTCTTCTCCCTTCATCTTTTGTCTTTTTGACAGCACATATCCGATACACAGGATCATCACCTATACCGCCATCATGTACTCCAAGATTGCTATTGTTGCCGCCTTGCTGGCCGCGGTCGATGCTCGCTTCGCTCAGGAAGGACTTCTTCAGAACGTCATCGGTGGTCTCAGCCAGTTTGGCAACCCAGGCCAGGCCGCCACCCTTGCTGGCCAGAGCCCCGGAGTTCTTCTCGCCGGTGCCAACGCCTGTGCCAAGGTCAGTGACAACGTCCGCACGAAAAATTGCCCCTTTCTAACAGACAGTATAGCTTGTTCTTGCCGACACCATTGTCACCCAGCTCGGAAACGACCCTCTGGTTATTGCCGCCGCTGCGAAGCTCGTCGCTGCCGAGAAGAACTTCAACCCCTTTGCTGTCTCCATTCCGAGCATCTGCTCCGATGCGAACCTCCCTGCCACTGCCGAGCTCCGGGGCATTGTTCCCCTCGTTGACCCGGCCGTTACTGGCTCCGATGTTGAGAACGCCAACTCGGCCAAGTCTCTTACCGCCCCCTTCGATGCCGCTGGAAAAAGCGTTGCCCAGGTCATGATCGACAATGGGTTCAGCAACTTCACGCTTCAAGGCGCTGATGGTGCCGTAGCCGCGGCCCCCGCTGCCGGCGGCAACGCTGGAGGTAACGCGGCTGCTACCACCACTGCCGCGGCCGTCGCTGCCACTTCCGCTGTTGCGTGTGCCGGAGTGACCCTCACCACCACTGTTAAGGCCGCTCCCGCCGCCACAGCTGCTCCTGCCGCCGCCGCCCCGGCCGCTGGTGGTAACCTTGCCGGCGTCGACTTTGGCCTCTGCGTTCCTACCATCAAGTTCGAGGGCGGTCTCGGCGGCCGTCCTGCCACTGAGTTCACCTTCCAGGCCATCGATCCCCTCGTTGCCAAGGGCCAACAGGAAGCCCTGAACCCCAACATCATCACCAACCGCATCTGCGACCAGCTCACCAACGTCTGCGAAGCCAATGCTGCTGCCAAGACTGCCTGCCTGGCGGCGAAGGCTCAGATTCTGGCGCTTAACACCCGCAATGCTGATACGGCTAAGACATGGAACTCTCTCCTGGGATTTTAAGCAATCCAGGGATCAGGCGTGTATTTACTTTTTTTTTCTGTCATGAAGGCCATGGATGTAGATCGAGAGCCCCAGCAACGTGACCTGAAAGGGGCTAAGATGCTGCTGTTTATATGAATATATGCTGTGTTGCTTTGGAGATTTACCTTTTCTTTGTTTTCCCTTCAATGGTGTTTTTGGTAACGGTCACGTGTATTATGAGTTGGGCAATGAAATTCGGATATGCTGCAAGTTTCCAAAGATATCAGTATCCATCCATTCTGTTTATGATGAGTTTGTGTGAGCATGTCGGCACTTCTCGCATATCTCTTCGTATTGGTGGAATGAAGTGGTTCCGATGACCTTGTCCTGGTCTTTCACCTTTGTCTAGACGCCTACATCCCACTGGGCCGTCGTTCGGCTTGTGCCGAGAGCTGCTGCTCCTGGAGACCAGATCTGGGCGCCGAAAGACGCGGGATGAGGGGGGCCAAGTGGGGAGAACCAGAGTCTGGTGGCTGCATCCCGTCAAAGCTCCAGGGCTCAATGCCAAGAATAATACCGCCAGCCCGATCCCGTCACCCGGTGTTTGGAAGCGACGGACTTTATACGACGTACAGCGGCAGCTGCTCACCTGCTCTCCTCTTGATCGAGCCTGGTACATTTCGGGCTCTTGCCGGGCCGGGCCAGTATCCCTTCCACAAATTGCGGGTAATGTTACCTACCAACATGAACTACCGCGAATCCATCAGCCCGTTGGCCGACTGGCTCTTTGTCAACCATGGTTCGGAGGCGGTTGGTTACTGACGCAGGAAGTGCATATCTTCATCGATTGCCATTTTTCGTCACCCCGATCGCGCTATATCTGAAGACGATTCGTCATCTGAATGACAGAAAACCGACGGCGAAGCTGAGCCAATGGGGACGAAAAACCGGTACCAGGACTCTGTAAGTGGCCTAGCTCGGCCAAGTTTCTTTCACGCATCCAGCAAAACGAAAAGACAGGTAGGTACGTTGGGGGGCCGTTTGGGTGAGCTGCTGCTGTGGGGTAATCAGGGGTTAAGGGGTGCATCCACGTTCCCGTCTGCGGTCACAGTTATAAGATCTCGGAGATCGGCTCGCTCCCGGACAGACGTGCTTCTGACGCTGACTTCGCGGCTTACATCTCTCAGCACACCACACGCAATATTTTTACATAGACCCGTTGAGGCTTGTCTTGCAAACCCACATCACGAACGACTGAAGAACAAACGGGCAAAGGATACCGAGACTTCAACAAGCAACAGGTCAACGGACACAAGATGAAGGAAGCTCTCGTCACAAAAGGTAGAAACTCTTTTCTGACTTGAACTGGTCTGATGTGGCTACCACGATGACTTACCTTCAACTTTAGGACCCAAGGTCCAGATCGTCGACTCCCCAGTCCCGGAACCCAATGACGACCAGGTCCTGATCCGGGTCGTGGTGAGCGGGTCCAACCCCAAGGACTGGAAGATGGCCGAGTGGTTCCGGGAAAAGCCGTCGAACGAAGGAGACGACATCGCAGGAATCGTCGAGCGGGTCGGATCACGCGTGTTCGAGTTCAAGCCCGGCGACCGCGTCGCTGCATTCCATGAAATGTCCACATCCGGCGGCAGCTACGCCGAGTATGCTATCGCCTGGGCGCATACCACGTTCCATATCCCTAAGGAGACGAGCTTTGAAGGTCAACTGCTGGCTTTCATGTTCTTCATGTCGGATCTCTGCATTGTCCCATCAGTGCACAGCATACCAAAAACGCGCGGAACAATAATCAGCTAACCTCTGACCTGCCCTTCAGATGCCGCGACCCTCCCTCTCGCCGCCATGACCGCAGCCGTAGGCTTATACGCGCGCCTCGGCCTCCCACAACCATGGACGCCCCGACTCGACAGCGACCCGGAACTCCCCCTCGTCATCTACGGCGCCTCCTCCGCAGTCGGCATCTTCGCCACGCAGCTCGCCCAGCGCAGCAACATTCACCCGCTGATCCTAGTCGCCGGCCACGCCAAGGACTACGTGTCCGGCTTCATCGACGCTAGCCACGGCGACACCATCATCGACTATCGCGACGGCAGCGACGCCGTCGTCTCCGGCATTAAAGCGGCCCTCGCCGCACCGACCGAAGCCAGAAAAGAGGCACTCACCCTGCTGCACGCCTTCGACGCCGTCGCGGAGAAAAGCAGCCCCGAGAACATCGGCCAGGTCTTGTCTCCAAACGGCGGCGCGAAAGCTACTTTCGTGCTCCACGGCAAGAAGAACGTGCCTGAGTACGTCGACCAGAGCATTACCACGGTCGGCAGCGTGCACCGCGATCTGAAGGATCTCGGGTACGTGTACTATCGGTACATTGCGCGCGGCTTGCAGGAGGGCTGGTTCAAGCCGCAGCGCGTGGAGGTCGTGCCGGGCGGGTTGGGCGGGATCCAGGGCGCGCTGGAGAATTTGAAGGCGGGGAAGGCGAGCGCGGTGAAGTACGTGTTTAGGATTGGGGATACCGAAGGGGTTTGAGGGGGCGGCGGCGGTGGTGCTGTGAAAAAGGAGTGTAAATTAAAGTGTTCGTTAATCAAGGGACCTACCTCTTTTTAACTTCGCGGTTATTATACAACGTCATAAACCGCAGGAACTTTTTTTCTATCTTTTGTTATTAAACTCTTTTGTTGGGCGTTAGATTTTTGGATGTGATGTGGATATGCGTCGGTGAGATGCGGGGAATTCGAGCTTCACACTGTATCAATGGACAGAGATCCAGCTGCCAAGGTGTGGGAAGAACTGCCAATGGTGGCCGGCGCCCGCATAGCTCAGGGGTAGAGCGTATCACTAGTAAACCAGGTTTATGATAAGGTCATCAGTTCAATTCTGATTGTGGGCATCTACTTTTGCCCTTTTTGCCGTATGCCCCTTTTATAAACAGATACCTCGCATATGTCCAATTGTGTTATCAAAGAAAAAAAGTAGCAATTTGGTTGGGGAAGAGTTTGTTCAATCCTCCGCGCTTCCTGCGAACTGCGAAATAAAAAAAGGGATGTAGGGTTAGGGTTGTGGCCGTCAAGCCTGTTTAGGGGGTCGAATGAACATTATTTCACTCAGCTTTCTTTGATTGAACTTGAAATTGATGAAACAATTCCTGCTCATGTTGGACACCTATATAACGGACGGTTAAATGTCCTGATATCTAAGTAACTATTTTGAAACTCAGCCTTAAATGTATGTCCCATTGGCCTTAGACAGTTGCTGGAGGTCACGTGAAATACCAACCAAGAAGTGAGGATCTCAACAACCCCCTCAGCTGCCTGGAGAGGTTTCCCAAGTTTCTTGCCCTACTGACCAAACCTCCCTCAGATAAGCGAGATTCCGCGATGCCAATTCATCAAACACCCGACTGCTGTCGATTCCATCATTCATCCTGAATCGCCGCTAAACCCAATGGACTTGCCAAATTGCCAAGTGTGTAACGATCTCGTCGGAGCTGATAGAAGAAGAGACTATGACGAGATAATTCGGAGCGCGTGCCACGGCTGTGAAGGATGCTCCCTCCTCCTCTCCGTCTTCTTACACCTTACTCCCAGAGTGCGCGACATCGACCAGCTCAGGATTGTCCCGCAAGAACACGCGGCCGGAGAAGGTTGGCCTTTGCTGGTGAGGGCCAGCACCAAAAATGGGGACGGACGTAACATCGAACTATTTCGCCAACGAGAGCCAACAACTTAAGCTTAAGCGACCACACCCAGAAAATCCTCAGCAAGACATGCCAGAGGGCGAAATGGCTAGAGATCGGGTTCGCCAGGCCCGTGTCAAGTCACTCTGCTTCGCCCGAGTGCGTTCGCCTAGCATTCGAATGGCTCCATAACTGTTTGGAAAACCACCCAGCGTGCCCAAGACGGGAAACCACCATTCTTCCAACACGAGTACTATATGTTGGCAGAGCGTCAGAAAACCCACGACTGGTGGTGAACAGGGGCAGCAGCGAAGCTAGAGGGACGTATGTGGCTCTGAGTCACTGTTGGGGGGGTAACGTGCCGATGCGCCTCACGGCCTAAACAGAGAATGTCTGGCAGCAGGACGGAATTTCCATGGACAGTCTTCCGCAGACCTTTCGCGACGCAGTAGCGGCCACTCGATCGCTTGGAATCGACCATCTCTGGATCGACTGTCTCTGCATCTTGCAGGACAGCCGCGAGGACTGGGCTTCTGAGTCGAGCCGGATGGTCGACACATACACCAACGCCGTCGTGACCATCGCGGCGGACCAGTCCACCGACTGCCACGGGGGCATGTTTGCCGAGCGCGCCGCCAGCGAAGTCGAAGCCTTGCCGATCAAGCTGACGTCCAGCTGTGACTGTAGTGGCTGCACCGTCTATGCTCGCCTGCACCGGAACAGGTCATACCCGTTCGTAAGCCACTCCTCCGCCGACCACGCCCGGCTGCAGCGCGGGGGCCTCCACTCCCGCGGCTGGACGCTCCAGGAGCGTCTTTTGCCTCGCCGCGTCTTGCACTTCACCCCGTCCGAGATGGCCTGGGAATGCTCCAGGGAAGTGTCATGCGAATGCCGCCTCCACGGCACCATCCCAGGCCAGTACCTCATCTTCCGGCGAGCCTTTCTCAACCCCATCATCCCCACCACCATAACCACTAGAGGCGACCACCTGCTCAAGGAGATCCACGGCCCCCTCTTCGACGAAGCAGGCGGCGACCCAACCGGCATCGTCCAGCTGCACTGGAACCTGATCGTCTTCGAGTTCACCGCCCGCGCCCTGACCGTCCCGACTGACCGGCTCGCCGCCCTCGCAGGGATCGCATCCCTGCTCTGCCGCCGCACTTCCCAGGATTACTTCTTCGGCCTTCTGTCGGCCCATGCCGTGCGCGGGCTCCTCTGGCGCAACCGGCAGAAAACAAAACGCCGGAAGCCCAGCGCGAGACTGCTGCTTGGAAGCACCACGGGCACGGGCACGGCTAAGGGGGGGTTTGCGCCCTCGTGGTCGTTCGGATCCGTCACGGGCCGGATCGGGTTCGTGCCCAACCCGGAGCGGTTCACCCTCCTGCGTCTGACGGCTGAGGTGCACGGGATCACGCGCCGGCTGGTCGATGACGCGAATCCGTACGTTTCCGGGATGGGGACCATTGAGATCGAGGGGTGTGTCGTTCTCGTGCGGCCTGCTGACCCAAAAGTTCATCCCGCGGCTACGAAAGGGGGCGGGTGTTATGTTCTTTTTGTTGCGGACGGCGATCCGTTGACTAGTCTGTGTAAGAACCCGCCGCATGATTATCCGCCGGGCGTGCCGTGGGGGTATTTCCAGCCGGATATTGATGAGTATGAGCAGGAGGTGTATGGGGCGACAAGGATGTGTTTGTTGATTCTCGGGTGGTGCGGGATGGCGAACGGGAAAGGAGAGCAGACACTTGGGTTGATTATTACTGAGCACCAGGGAAGCGACCATGATACTGCAAGCCGCGGGCCAGTGTATAGAAGGGTGGGCATTTTTGTTGGTGGCGGCGGGTTTGGTAAGCATACGATGAGCAAATGGGTCACGTATGGAGCGAGGAAACGTGTTTATCTGGTGTGAAGAGAACCAATACCAGCTATTAGTTTGATTCTACATTGTAGCAGCCACACGTACTCGGGTGTGTGGACGTGGCCAGTTTTGACATTCTTGGTTTACCATAGTGGTCTTCGAGTTGCTCTCCATTCATACCCCAAGTCATCCAGCGTCTCGGCGATCCACTCATCCATTTCTTCCTCTCCTCAGGCGCGTCCCCATCATCGCCATTACCCCGCCAGCGTCGAAAGGAGTAGTAGCCGTAATTTTCTTTCAGGAACCAGCAATGTCTCTCCGCCAGACCCAAGCCCAGACAGCGGACAGGCTAGATCAACACCACAGCCCATAAACACGCCAGACCTTTGCGCTTTACCTCCCGTGCAGCCGGGACATATATTTCGCTCCCCGTGGCAAACACCACAATCGCCGTCGTCTATCCAGGAAATGACATCCGGCACGGTAATCTCAGCCTTGACGGCCCGAAAGCACGTCTTGTTGCCGAGCCGAGCAGAACATACATAGCATGTATTCTCCGGCCCGGACAGCTCGCGCAGCTCCGTGAAGGAGGGGTGTGACCGCCTTGCGTCGCTGACCTTGACTGAACGCATTGGTTTTATTTTGGATGTGCGAGGCTTGGTTGTTGCAAAAGGGAAGATCGAAAAACTATCTTTTTTATTCAACTGAAGAAACCACGTTGCGTGTACAATTTACACTGTTTAAGTTTAAAGACAAAAAAGTAAATGAACTTCACAAGAACTCTGGAACTGTCCGCACCAGCGGCCGCTTTTTGACCATGAAACAAAAAAGTAAATAACCCCCCCGTTTCCCCCCTTGGAACGCTAATCTTGGCTCATCACCACCTCGGTATCCCCCCCAATGCTCGAGTATCGCCATCTCCTTCGCCATATCATCAAGGATCAAGGCAAGCTCATGAACAGCCGCCGCATCCGCTCGTAATCTGGGCTCCCCAACCCCGTCACCGCATCCCACCCACGAGCAGCCCGAAACGCGGGATCAGCGCCACAGCCCTCGTTGGCACCCGTCACAACGTCGTTGAGTACATCCGGGCTGCCGTACAAAACCGGGTTGATGAACCCAACTGGCCCCTTTCCGGCGTTCATGCGCTCGCTGTTGATCAGCGTGATGATGGACGCGAACACGGGGTTCGACGCCGACGTGCCAGACACGCGCTCCCACTTCCCGTTGGAGACGACGTTGTACTCGTCCGCCCGGACGGCCACGTCGGGGTAGCCTCTGCCCGTGCTGCTGAAGCGATCCCGGACTGCGTCCAAGTGATTTTTCTCCAAGTCTTTGTACCGGGCGACGTTGGGAACTTGGTAGGGAGGAGCGGAGAACACGTTGCTGAAACCGCCTCCAGAGGTAGCGAGCTTCTTGTCGAGGACTCGACGCCAGGCTGTTTCCTCGTTGGTGGTCGCATTCGAACCCATTTGTGTCCCCCCGACGCTTGTGACCCAGGGGCAAGACGCGGGAAAGACGGGACTGAACTTCTTGGCAGTGGTACCGTTGCCTGTTGGGTCATCATCAATGCAGAAGTGCCCGCCCCCGCTGGCGGTACCATGGTCGGATACGCTGACAACCACGGTCGTGCCCATGAGGCCCAGCTTGAGGAACTCGAGGCACTGGCGCTGGAGGTAATTCGCAGAGAAACCTGCTTCTGTCCAGCCCCACGAAATCGACAAGACCTTGGGCGGCGACAATGAGCCGCAGTCGCAGGCCGTGTTGTTGCAACCCGGCATGTAGAAGTCAGGGTACTTCCTGTCCTTGGAAGGGACAGGGTCGCAGTAGTACTCGTCGAATGCGGCGAGCATGTCGTGCAGGTTTCCCACGTCGGTGTCGGAGCCGACTTCGACGTTGGTGACCTCTTGAGGTGATGTGAGCGCCATGGCGTACTCAAAGTCGAGATTTGGCTCTAGGTTGAACATCGGCATGGTGTAGTTTCTCTGCCAGTAGCCACCGTTGACACCATCGACTTTCGGACGGTGACCAACGCGATCTGGCTGCATCTTCCCAAAGAACTGGTCCAAGTCTTCTGGGAGCCAGGAAATCCAAGATGGCTCAAAAATGCCAAATGAGTTGTTGGGGTGCGGTGGTACATTTTGCGGGATCTTGTACAGGTTTCGGAGGCATGACAGAGACGTCTGCTGGAAACAGTTGGATGGCAGAGGTGCCGATGAGGCGACACTTTGCTCCTGATTCAAACCGACTTGTTGTTGATGAGTATGTCGCGGGGTTTGCCGATGAGCCATGGGTGGAGATGAAGCCGCAAGTATGTAGTCGATATGCCCAGCGAGTGGTTTTGGGATGTGGTAGTGCT